GAAGGAAGGAAGGAAGGAAGGAAGGAAGGAAGGAAGGAAGGAAGGAAAAAATGACAAGTTATAGCTTTGTGCTATAGAAGTTACACAGCATGTGAATATGCAAGGCCTTGTGCTCAATCTTCACAAAATATTACTTTCCATTGATTCATGCAAACCTTAGTTTGAGCTCTGGCTATAGCTCAGGGTTTGAGCACTTGCCTAGCATGTGCAAGGCCCTGAGGAGTCCTGCCCCTTATACCTCAAAAAAATGCACTGAGGAAAATATAAAATCAAGAGAATCATTACTTTCATAACAAATGACAGATAAGTAATGCATGTGCCGATTAAACTGATAGAGCTGTTCCACAAAGCATAGATGTTGCCAGAGAAATCAAAGTTCACAATCTGTGTCAATTTAAGATGTACAGTCTGCAACGTGTAAAGTAGTCTCTTGGGGGCTAGTGAGTGGGCTCAGCAGACCTGCCATCAACACTAACAACCTGAATTCCATTAGGTTTGCTCTAAGCTTATGCACATCGGGTCAACTGTGCATAACACAAACACATACACAAACACACACAAAAACTGATAATTAAAGAAACATTTTAAAGTACTGCCTTAGAAGCCTCTTGTTTATATGTATTTTCTAGATTGTTTCATTGAGTGCTGGTCAAGTGTACAAGTTGCATTTCTTTTTCCTCCAGCCACTCTGTCCCAGTGCTTTGAGCAGAGTAAGACCTTAACAAAATTTTATTGAGCATATGAATGTTAACTTACATGTGTATAAATATACCACAGAAACCATAAATAGCAGGAACTAAAGCCTGTTTCTGCAATGCAGTGTGAAGGTAGGCATTTGTACTCATTCAGTTTTATTTTTAACTTTATTCAAATACACAATTGTTGATCCAAAAATCTATGATTTTCCTTCAAATTATATATTAATTATCACAATTTCTTTTTACTTTCTCATCTGTCTAGAAATATATATATATATATATATATATATATATATATATATATATATATATATATACATGTGCTTGTATATCCTAAGCTGAGCTGCATTTCATCCCACCTTCTAGAGAACACAATTTTCATGTCCATCCCCTTCCCTTTTCCTAGCCATTTTCTTTTTAAGACCATTCATGTGTTCAGCCCCAGTGACCATACCAGAGCTGGCTGCTCATTTCCTTCCTGCCTTTGCTGCTACCCACTGATCACCATGACTAATCAAATGGCACACCAGCCTGCACCAATCATTAAGATGACCCAAATTAACAGCCCAGCCATGTCACAGTACATTCATTCCACATATACAGACATGGCCTAAGTATGAGGCAGAAACCTGCATGTGCTTATCCATGTTTGCATTGTGGCAGGCTTTATTGATTATCATGATCTGCTTTGATATTTAAAATCTATACATGGGAATTATCTATGAATTATTTCAGAGACAAAGCAGATGTGCCTTTTTTTCCAACAGCATTTTCTTTCATTTGTCATTTTCCTATAGTTGGACTATAAAACATCACAGCGTAACACACGCCCTGCTCTTTACTTGGAAAGGACTTTTAATCATATTAGTTTTCCATATTAACAAAGAAATTCTTATTTTTCTGGCTGAACAAAATAAGGTAGAATTGCTCAGAGTTGTGAGTTTCCCATCAACATTTTATGACCCAATTGTCTTGAAGGTAGTAGTCAGTAAACGTCGGCTTCTAAAGTGTATCAGCAGCCTTATTTTAACCGCAGCTCTGATTGTCGGTGCCTTGCAATGCCTGGTGTAAATTTATCCCCCAAATATTTGCATTCTCTATAGTCATTTTTTTCCTACACTACAGTCTAATAATTAGAGGGTCCCATTACCTGCTAAATGCTTGCATAAATTATCAATCCATTATGCACAATAAGTTTTATAAAACATTTACAGATAGAGATCATGTTTAATTAAAATTAACTTCCATATGTAATCCAAGTGTGCACTAATAATTCACAGTGACCTTTTATTACCTATAGTCCCTTGTTTTGGATGAATGATTGACAGCTTGCTGTTTGGCTACCATGTTGAATTTTAGCTGACAAGACTTTTCATTTTAACTCAATTTGCCCGCCTATCACAAGCTGGTGGCAGGCCAGACCCCAGTCACCCAGCTTTGCCTCGGCAGCTTGCTCTAGTTCTCATTAGTACGCATTTATTCAGTGGGAATTGGAAGACAAATGCTTGAAGGCATGTGAACTAAGTATAGCAAATTAGGTTTAAAGACTGAATATTTATAAGTGTATGGAAAGATTTTTTTTTAAATTCTAGAGCGAATTGAGAACCAAGTGCTAGCTTTAGTATAAAAGAAATGAAGATAGAAGGGGGACAATGCTAAGAATAAAAATACTATAAGCTTTTTCACTCCATTTTGGAAATATGTAAAACCCTCTGACAACACTTTATCAAATAAAAACCTGGCATCTCTTTCATGGAATGCTTGTACAATGAAGTTTAGCACCTCACGTGTGAGAAAAAGAGAAAAAAAAAATGAGGGTCATGCTCATTTGTTGCTTGGTTATCCCTTGGTATGTTTTAAACTGCCTTGTTTGTTCGGCACTAGCCCAGAAACAGATGTTGCTCTACCGTGCAGGATAATTTACTGTACCTCCCGGTGTAGCGTGGAAGCCCTCCCAGGGCCCAGCTGGTCTGTCAGTGGGGCTGGCTGGTGTCTGCTCAACTATGACAGCTACAAGGAGAGGCTGCAGTTTTTTCATTGTGCTATTGTCATTCTTCTCAACATATAGTTCTGCCCATATTCACTGTGGGGCTGGTGGAAATGCTGCTGGCTTTTGTGTCTGTATGCTGTACTCAGACCCCAATAGGCTCTCCTCTCCATTGGTGATAATAACACAACTCATTACTTTTGTCGCCTAATGATTATCGGCATGATCGCTCAGAGCAAGAGCCAACCTCGTCTTGCACACATAGCTGGTACTGGAAGTTAAAACAGATTTGTCACTTACGATCTGACTGCTGAGCCACACTTTCAGCTCCATTATTGTGATTAACTTCTGCATAAGATATGCTTGCCCAATTGTCATTTGTGATACTGCAGTTGGCACGAGCTGCCATGTTTCCCAAGAGCACACCAGCCAATTGGAAATGACCGTGTTATCCGGACTGTTAAAAGCCTACCCTGTCACAGCAGCCACCCCAAGCATTATTTTGCTTTTATATTTCTTCTTCCCACACCCCTACTGGACTTGTTGTGTGAACAAAACTACTACATATGTCAGCCACTATTTCATACCACATGCTAAAATGATGCTAAAATGCTAAAATGGTCCAACGGGGCCAGCAGCAGGACATGGGAAGCCTACCCTTGATTTTCACCATAGAAATGTTGGTTCTTGGTGTCTAGCCAGCTGAAATCTGTCGTGTCAGGTGCCTTGTGGCTATCTGCAGTAGAGTCCATGTTCCAAAACCAAAGTTCTTTTCTAGCCTCATCACCAGCAAACCGATTTGACTCTTCCTGATTATAATAACGAAGGCAGTCTAAGAGAATATGCACAACCTCACCATACGTCACATTGAATCACCACACTGCCTACACAGAGCTGACCGAAGCCTCATTTCTTTAGACAAATGCATGCTCAAAAAAAAAAAAAAAAACCTCCTGAGAGAAGGCACCCAAAGCTACTTCAGCTACTTCATGCCCCTGTGCAAGGGCTCATAGGTTTAAATCTTACTAAAATAATATTTATTTTTGTGTTCCCACCAATGGGTCTGCCTTTAGTAACATAATTACTGGGGACTGTCTATGCCAGAATTGTGCTCGGCACCACGAAACTAGACTCTGAACATGTGTGCGTGTGTGTGTGTGTGTGTGTGTGTGTGAGAGAGAGAGAGAGAGAGAGAGAGAGAGAGGTTTCTAAATTGTAAGTTATGAACACAATCATTTATTATCATGTGAAACGAGGGTGGGGGGGACTCCATTTGGAACTCTTTCACGTTGCTGATTATAAAGAATCAAGCTTTATATTCCAGAACCCATTCACACTGGTGGAAACATAGTCAGTTTTGATTATGAAGAGAGAGATGCAGCCCCAGACAGGAACTACAAACTGATAATGCATGCTATCAGAATGATTTATGCAAATTATGCATATTATTCCCAAAGGAATTCCTCCTCAAACTGCCAGGATAAATCGCCGGAAATTAGCCATAAAATCTGCCATGCTGGGAGCAAAAGGTGAAGGCCACTGGGAAAGCAAGGACATTCGGTTTCTGGAATCTTCCAGAATATGATGGTGAATGTTATTACACCCTGGACACTGAGAAAAACGTGGTTTTCTCTTGAATCATGTAAAAATGTATTCCTTTAAAATTTTTCTAGCAAATGCTGACTCATTTTATTTACAGCTACCAGAAGAGAAATTAAATGTGACTCTGTCTCCAAATGCACCCACTACAATTACTTTACTGTTAACTGCCTACTTGCTCTTAAATAGCTAAGCCTCGCTTTAAAGGCATCGCTGCAACAGACCAGTGAAGTAACACTCCAGTAGTGTGCTATGAGAGGAATATAGTTTCACTTTACTATGTTTGTGCCACTAACTGACCAGTCTTTTCCTGGAGACCATTCCTTCTTTCCTCTGTCCACAGACAGTATGGCTACCTCCTGCTTGTAAATCCCCAAACAATGCTGTGGCAAAGCCACCAGGTTCTTTGCCCTCACAATCCACAGCCTCATTGGCTCTCTCTTTGTTCTCAATGGATATGAATAAATTATTTCCCTACCAAGCAAGGTTGTTGGTAATGAGTTCTAACAGCCAACCCAGAAAGCTTCTCAAAGCACTTGCTTATGATTCAGGAACTGTTGTTTCTTTCAGAAAGCACCATTCTTGAGGTCCTACGGCTGTGCTCATACTCCAGCATCTTCCGTGAAGTTGAAGAGGATATGGATTTCAGCTTAGAGACTACAAGTTACTGTCTGAGGAAGGGAGACTTCGTAGCTGTCTTTCCTCAAATCATACACAGTGACCCAGAAGTCTTTGAAGCTCCGGAGGTAAATAAGCATCATGTTGGTGCTGATGAATAAGCTCACTCCTACTCATCCCTTGATTTATTCTCACTGGAGATATGAAGCAGCTTAGTGATGACTTACATTTTCCCTCTGATAGGAAGGCTTTTGCCTTTACAGACTTTTTTCCCCTAAGAGTCTGACTTTGACAGGTTATATGAACTGTGAACAGAAATTCAGATAAGTCTAAATGCTGATTAATTCAAGTAAAATGTACATTTTACCTTGGTCACTATTACCTTTAGCCACTGAATTAGATTCTTTGGACAAGGAATTACTAAAACCCATAGAGGGCTAGGGGCTAGCTGCTGATGTGTGGCATAAAAATTAAATAATGATAACTACATTGCTAAGAACTTCCAAAGTGAAGCTGACTTCAAAAGTCAAATATCATTGTATCTAAAGGTAGGACCAACTGGTAGTTGAGCCCCTTTTAGCTGATGTTATGTGCCCTGCTTGACCAATTAGCATGGCACTATAAATTTCAAATTGTAAAGCTGCAGCTCTCTGGTGAAGCTCTGAGGGTAATTGTGTCATCTCCTTGTATTTTTTTCTGAAGCTGGAGTTAATGAATATCAAAGACTGGAAATTAATCCACCCTGGTTCATCCCTTAACACTGTTACAGAAAGTCACCCCCTGCATGCAAACTCAGTGCAGTTATATTCTGCCCGTGCTTGGCATGGAGTGATGCTGCCGACTTGTAACATTCACTGATCACCTTTTGGAAAGGAAACTTCTGTAGTCTTTTAAATACCTCATAGATAGGACACATTTAAACATAGCTTTTAAGATAGATGTTCTGCAGCCAACCTGAATTATAATACTGTTGAACATAAGAAATTAATAAGAGAACAGACTTCAAAAACGATGGCATAAGTTGTATGTATTTAAGCAGCAAAGCCAGTGTTTTACTGTATAGGAGTACTGCATGGTTTCTTAGGAGAAGCGTTATGTGACAGTGACAAGAAAGAAGATATAGTTTCAGCCCATGAGTAAGCATTCTCCAGAAAACAAACTTTATCTCTCAAAATGGGAATAACAATATTTCCAGTTATTAGTGTATATTCAATAATAAAACAACTGAAATTAATATCTGAAAAATATTTGTAAAAGTTTAAATAACAGCACTTCTCCCTTTAGTTTTTGACTTTTTCTTAGAATTTTCTTTGTGATTATTCAGTTAGTAGCAGTTTATTAATCATGTTATGAGACTTAAATCAGAATTATTATTGTTACCAAATAAGAAATGATCACCAGATTGCCACCATCTTTATAGGCACCTTTCTTTGTGCTTTTATCACCTCCCACTCTTTCTGCCACATTTAAAAAAATCTGATTGATAATGTTAAGAATTTAAAAACCAAAATTATGCATTGTAAGGGTTAGGATCAAGCCTGGTGATCCAAAGACCAGCCAATTTCTGTAGGTTTGAAGCCAGCCTGGGCTCACAGCATGTTCCAAGCCTCCCAGAGGTACATAGTGAGTCTCTCTCTCTCTCTCTCTCTCTCTCTCTCTCTCTCTCTCTTTCTCTCTCTCATACACACACACACACACACACACACACACACACACACATACACACACACAGAAACACCAAAAGAAAAGTTAAAGATAAAAAAGTATAAGCATTGATTAAGGAATAGTGGTGCATATCTGTAATACAGATATTTGGAAAGTTGGGATAGGAAGTTAGCAAGTTCAACCCCAGCTTTAGCTAAATAGCAAAACTGAGGAAGAGGGAGAAAACTGGAGGGAGAGGGAGGGTTAAGGAAAAGGACTGAGTTTTAATTTGTATATATTTTACTCTGTGGAATGCTGGCATTACCAAAATTTAACAGTAAACAAAAGGTGTAACTTATACTAAATCAGTGGGAAAATAAAAAGTTAATATTGTAAGCAGTGATTTAAAATCATTAAAATAGCTCTAACAAGCGATCATGACTCTATCATTTAGTGGATTTTAACATTATTTTGTGTTACACCTGATTTGTGTTAGAATTAGACAATTTTCATTACATTATTATTTTGTGAAATCAGTTATGGAATCACGATTATTCTTTGTACAAAACCAAAGAAATGATTTGGAACCATTTTTATATGATTTTGCCAGCTATTATATTCATTCTATAAACATTTGCTAAGTACTACCACTGTCAGGTATTACGTAAACATACTTTCTTTGGTTCATAACATCTTAAGATGGCAATAAGAAAACACATTAGAAACTCATGTGGCAGATGCCCTTGCCCGACCACCATCTACTAGCAGTGATAAAGAGGCTAGACATCCTATCATTGGCCACTTGTCCCTGAAAGCACTGTCTCCGAGTCAAGAGAATCCTAGTCTTCCCTGTAGGTTTTATATCCTACAGACTAAGACTTACATGTGTAGAAAAGACACAATAATTGGGCCAAAACTATGAGGGTGACTAGCTCCAAATGCAAGTTTAGTAGCTCTTGAAAAACATAAAAGCCCAGGATTCATCCCAACATGGTTCTTAGCACAGTAAAGTGTGTTTTCAAAATGTCTGAATCTCACTTCCCAGCACATATCCTGCTTCTCCTTCACACATTCATGGCTTTGGTAGCTCCGAAAATGCCCTTTATTTATTATCCCTTTGTTCCTGAAAACCAACTACTTACCTGCCTACCCAGCAAATTTCGAATGACTCCGTAATAACTATCTTTGTCATCTCCTCTTTGCAAATGTACAATTTCCACCAAATTTGTGAGAATGTGTATTGTCCATTTGTCACTTTTTGCTTTTGCTATAATATATGCCAATGGGGCATTACTATCTTGCAAATTTCAAGTATTTTGCAGCTACTTACTCAAGTAGGAGATAAAAGATGGAGGAATGCAATGAAAATGAAACTACACATCAGTTAAGACAAAGAAGTAAACCTGAAATAGGTATTTGGTGTAACAAGTAGCTTGAGCATAAATATAATTATCAAGAACATGAATATTGCTTCAAATACAGACATTACTATAATTTGCTCATTAGTCCAACAAGAAAATAAGGATCCTGCTATGGGAATGTCACGGAATTTGAGGCTGTGAAAATGCAGAGGTAGACTAAGAAGGGCGAATTCCCAGGGTTCTTACTCCTTGACATCTTCTGTGAGTTCCTTCTCATTTCTGAGTGGCTTTGTCACCTTTGCATGATTTGGTCCAGGGAAAAACTGACCACAAACCAATGCTGTCTGTTCTGCTTTCTATTCAAGCAAAGACTTCTCGTGAGGTCCCCACAGATATTTTTTATTTCTCTGTGCCACTGACCAGATTACTTCAAATTCCAAGCCCCAACTCAGACATCTGTTATAATGGAATTCAATGAATATGACCAGTTCCAGGAAATTCCAATAGTAGAACACCTAGTGAGCAGTAGGCAGGTTTGATGTCTTTCACACCCAGTCCTGTTTCCAACACCTTAAGTTATCTCACAGGACTTAAATAATTTGTGGTCAATACTGAGTTTAAGTGGCTTCTGGGTTACCTCACTCAGGATCATCTTTTCTGGTTCACTTCATTTGCTTGCAAATTTCATGATTTCTATGTTTTTAATACCTGGATAGTATTCCTTTGTGTAAGTGTACCACAATTTCTGTATCAATTCCTCAGTTTGGGGGCATCTGGTTTGTTTCCAGATTCTGGCTATTATGAATAAAGCTGCTACAAACATGGTTGAGCAAATGTCGTTGTATAGTTGAACTTGTATTGGATATATGTCTAGGAGTAGTATAGCTGGATCTTGAGGTAGCATTATTCCTAATTGTCTAAGAAAGTACCAGATTGATTTCCAAAATGTTTGTACAAGTGTACATTACCACCAGCAATGGAGGAGGGTTTCCCTTTCTCCACAACCTCTCCAGCATGTGTTGTCACTTGAGCTTTTGTAACCCATTCTTACGGTGTAAGGTGAAATCTCAGGGTAATTTTGCTTTGCATCTCCCTGATGACTAAGGACGTTGAGCATTTCTTTAAGTGTTTCTCTGCCATTCGATATTCCTTTATTGAGAATTCTCTGTTTAGCTCCGTACCCCATTTTTTTTAATTGGATTACTTGGTTTGTTGCTGTTTTACTTCTTGAGTTCTTTATATATATTCTGGATTGTAGCCCTCTGTCAGATATAGGAGTGGTGAAGACCCTTTCCCAGTCTGTAGGCTGTCCTTTTGTTCTGACAACAGTGTTCTTTGCTTTACAGAAGCTTTTCAGTTTCATAAGGTCCCATTTATTGATTGTTGATCTTAGATCCTGTGCTGTTGGTGTTCTGTTCAGGAAGTTGTCTCTGTGCCAATGAGTTCAAGGCTCTTTCCCACTATTTCTTCTAACATGTTTAGTGTGTCTGGTTTTATGTTGGTTCACTTGGACTTTAGTTTTGAGCAGAGTGATAAATATGGATCTATTTGCATTTTTCTGCATGTAGACATCCAATTAGACCAGCACCATTTGTTGAAGATGTCATCTTTTCCCCATTGTATGGTTTTGACTTCTTTGTCAAAAATCAAGTATTTATAGGTGTGTAGGTTTATTTCTGGGTCTTTTATTCAATTCCATTGATCCATCATTCTGTTTCTTTACCAGTACCATGCAGTTGTTTTTTTTTTTTAATCACTGCTGCTCTATAGTACAGCTTGAGATCAGGGATGGAGATATCTCCAGATGATCTGTTATGATGTAGGATTGTTTTAACAATTCTAGATTTTTGGTTTTTATATATGAAATTGAGACTTGTTCTTTCAAGTTCTGTAAACCGACAGGAACCTACCTCTGAAGGCCTCTGAAATACTCTGCCCAGCACAGTATGGAAACAGATGCTAAGACTCATAGCCAAACTTTGGGCAGAGTACAGAGACTCTTTTAAAAGAAGGGGGAGATGGAAAGACCTGGAAGGGACAGGAGTTCCACAAGGGGAGCAACAGAACCAAGAATTCTGGGCCTAAGTGTCTTTACAGAGACTGATACTCTAACCAAGGCTCATACATGGAGATAACCTAGAACCCCTGCTCAGATGTAGCCTACGGCAGCTAAGTGTCCAAGTGGGCTCCCTTTTACGGGGAGCAGAGGCTGTCTCTGATATAATAAATTCAGTGGCTGGCTCTTCGATCACCTCCCCCTGGGTAATACAAGCCTTGCCAGACCACAGAGGAAGACAGCCCTGATGAGGCCTTATAGGCTAGGGTCAGATAGAAGGGGAGGAAGGCCTCTTTTATCAGTGGACTGAGGAAGGGGCATAGGAGTAGAAGAGGGAGGGATGGTGGGACTGGGAGGAGATAAGGGAAGTGGCTATAGCTGGGATACAAAGTATAATAAACTGTATGAAATAAACTAATATATAAAAAGAAAAAAATAAAATTTACTTAATCTATTTGTCCTTAGCAGAAAGCTGTAAAAAAGTGCACTAATCTGCTTTAATTGGTGAATGGGAAGAAAAGTGTGTTAGTTCTAAGTTCTGCAAGGTAGGCATGGGCCCCAGGGATGGAAGATGTTCACAAGGAGAGGGTTCCATACTGTACTATAAACACTGTATATCCACAAAGAATATCATGGTGCTTATTGAAGAGATGAAAAGACATATTTGGGTGTGCTTTGGTTAGGTATGTTTGGATACATCCCATAACTGTGCCAAAATATACTTATATTCTAATATGTTTAAAGTTTCACTTTTTAGGAAATAACTATCAAATGCTAAATAATTTTGCCAACATCATTGTGCTGATTTGCAAAATGGCAGGGAGTAGAAACTGTGCAATTTTTTCAAAGCTCAAATACTTAACAAGTTAAGCATTCTGGATAAACTAAGGTAAACCAAATACAGATAAAGTAGATGATTGTTCCAACCTTACTAAACTTGCCATTAAAATAGTCCAAACATTTGTGATACATTCATAATTTACTCTGGTTTCACCATAACCAGAAATGTGTTGGATCTGATCTACTTCTTTAAATTTGACTTCATATAGTTTATGGAAAATGAGTGGTTGAATATATCTAATGAGCTCCAACTATTAGAAATAATTGGCCATTTTAATTCAAATCATGTGTATTAATTTATTTGAAAGTTTAATTCACAATGGACTAAAATATGCTTTCTCAGTAGTCTTAAACATTCAAGTGAGAGTTGAACTGGGCCATTTTGGCAGCAAGGCCAAACAAAGACTGGCTATCCTAAATAAACCTGTTTGGCAAATTTCTGTAACAAGCATTATAACTTACTTATGGAAATATGTCAGAAATGCCTTATACCTAGAATTAACCCAAGCAGAAAAATATCATAGACAAAGTTCACATTAACATATAAAAAAAAAAGCAAAATCTATTTTATAGCTTAGGTTTTTTTCTTGGGTTTTTAAAAATTCTTATTATTTTGTATTTACTTAATCCAGTCATAAACACTGAATCCTAAATTCATGGTACTCATCTACCAGTAGCTAGTTCAGAAGAAAAATGAATAGCAAACTGGCTGCTAAGATTCACTACTTCATAGTCGCTATGACGGCAGTATAAGAGACCCTTTCTATCTATAATTGACATATCAAGAGTATATGTATATATACTCAAGTATATATATATATATATATATATATATACATATATATACATATATATACATATATATATATACATAGAGAGAGAGAGAGAGAGAATCCTTGAAGAACAGTACAACTGGAGATGCTGAGTAGGACTGTTTTGCATATATTGTGCCAGTGTCTCACTTAGGTTTTTGCACAGCTATGATGAAACACCATGACCAAAAGCAACTTGACGAGAAAGGGGTTTATTTCAGCTTAGAGTTAGCTTAGAGTATATATATATATATATATATATATATATATATATATATATATATAGAGAGAGAGAGAGAGAGAGAGAGAGAGAGAGAGAGAGAGCAGAAATGAACATAGATGAGCTTGGAAAACTCAGTGCAATCACATTAACTTGACCATTGTGTGTCCTCTCCAAAACTTGTCTCTTTATCTGAATGCAATTTTGTTGTTGATGGGAGGTGAGAATTTAACAGTAGGTTGGGTTATTATGGGTAAGGCCTTTGCCATGTTAGTTATCACTTTCTTGAAACTACACTGGACACCAGAAAAGTTTATTATTATAGCAAGAGACTGACTCTTCGATTTTTCATTTTCCAAGTGCACCAACTTGCCATGTGGTTTTCCATTAAGGAACATCAGAAGGTCCATCAACACCAGGTTCTTAGAATGTTTGAACTCAAGAATCATGAACCAAAAGAAAATTCCTTTCTGTATTAATTTCCCAGCCTTCAATATTTAGTGACATCACCGAATACTAAGTAAGAAAAGACAAGAGAAATGTCAACAGAGATGAGAAGTGGTATAGATATTTGGATATAGGTGTTCCTTATAATATTTGAATTCTTTTCAAAGTTTGCTCATGACTTTTGTGAATTCAAGTTTTACTCTCTCATGTATATTCTCAGACGAAAAGCAACCCAGTGGACTTAACTCAAAGTAGTTCATGTAAACTTTAATTTTTCCAAGTCCACTGATAGGGGAGGTCCTCCTCCCCTTTCATCTGACCCTGGTTTATCAGGTATCTTCAGGACTGGCAGCAAAATCCTCCTCTTTGGCCTTGCAGGGCTGCTCCTCCTTCGGGGGAGAGGTGAAGGTCAAAGAGCCCACTATTGAGTTCATGTCAGAAATAGTCCCTCTTCCCCTTTCTAGGGTACCCACTTAGATACTGAGCTACCATGGGCTACATCCAAGCAAAGGTTCTAGGTTATAACCATACATGGTCCTTGGTTGGAGAAACAGTCTCATAAAAGACCCCTATGCCCAGGTATATTTGGTCCTTGTCGAGCTTTTGTCCACTCCAGGTCATATTACCTCCCCCTTCTTTCATATGATTCCCTGCACTATGCCGAAGGTTTGGTTATGAGTCTTAGTATCTGCTTTGATACACTGCTAGGTAGAGTCTTTCAGGGGCCCTCTGTGGTAGGCTCCTGTCCTGTTACTTGTTTTCCCCTACATCCAATGTCCATCCCATTTGTCTTTCTAAGTGATGATTGATCATCTTACCCAGGGTCCTCTTTCTTGTTTATCTTCTCTAGGTGTATATATTTCATTATGTTTATCCTATCTTATAGGTCTATATAAGTGAGTATATACCATATGTGTCTTTCTGCTTTTGGGATACCTCACTCAGAATGATCTTTCCTAGGCCCCACCATTTGCCTGCAAATAAAGGAGCAGAATACAACTGGGATACAAAGTTAATAAACTGTAACTAGTATTAAAAAATTTTAAAAACTAAAAAATTAAAAAAAAACAAGAAAAGTATTCTGTGCTCTTACAGATTAAAGAACATGAGTGTGCCATAGGCATATAGATTGAGGTGATAATGAATATTAATTTTTTTTAATTTTTAACAATGTCTATTATTCTTCATAGGAATTTAGGTTTAATCGTTTCCTGGAAGATGGTAAGAAGAAAACAACCTTTTTCAAAGGAGGGAAAAAGCTGAAGTATTACCTTATGCCATTTGGATTTGGAACCAGCAAATGTCCGGGCCGATATTTTGCAGTTTATGAAATGAAGCTACTATTGGTTATATTTTTAACTTATTTTGATTTAGAAATAATTGACAAGACACCCATAGGACTAAAGAATAGCCGTTTGTTGTTCGGTGTTCAGCATCCTGACTCTGATGTCTCATTTAGGTACAAGGCAAAATCTTGGAGAAATTGAAAGGGTGGCAAGAAACAGAGTGAGGCTGTGTGTGCTGACCTCTGTTGCTTGTTTCTTTCACATAAATACGACTATTGTGTTTGTATGTTTGAAAATGGCAAATTTATATTTGGTTTTAGATCTATCCAGTTTGTCCTTGGTCACAAAACCTGTCATAAAATAAAGTAGGGCGGTGGCATAAAAAATGATTATGACAATCATTTCAGGATAAGTTAAAAATAATGTTTTAAACTTTGTACTTACTGTGATTTTTATCATTTTCAGTGATTGTAGTTTTCCAGTAATAAATTTGGCCCAGGGTATTTTTTTTAATTACTGAAATACTCTAAGATGGCTTTATGTACTGTCAAAAAGTGTGCCATCGATGGACAGTCTGACACTTTCCAAATTTCCAGAGAAGAGAAATTAAATCCCATGAGTTTCACTGTGTGAAAATGTTTCCTACAAGTATAATATCAATAATATCTATATCACCAGGTTACCTTTGCATTAAATGAGTTTGCAATAGATTAAACGTTCCGATTTTCCTTCAATATTTAGTCATCCATAAATACTCTTTATAACTTTGAATTCTACAGTTCAACAAGACAAAATTTTCTGTTATGTAAGACCTCTCATGTTCAAGTTAGATATTGTTAAAATTTAATGTGTAAGAAAACACAGAGCCTATTATATATTCAGCAGTTGCTCTAGACATTAGTATTGGGTTTAGTATGCAGGGAAATGTTGAAGTCATTACAGCATTGATGGTAGTGTTGGTCTTTAGTATAAACTGTGTTATCTAATGCTGCAATGAACCCTTTACTAAATGTTTCCATTTATATGAAATGAGAAGTTAGGTAGTATTATTTATTCACAACTTTCTGGACTTGAAGGTTAGTTGTATTATTTTAAACTATCAAATTAAAGTATTCAAAATAATTTTATGTGACACAATATAACCTGTACCAATGATTAAAAGATTTCTATTATCAAATTTCCCAGTGATTAACATTTGACATAAATGGTGATAGAAAAATACAAACTCACAGGGCAAATTATTAAGGCAGATTAATTCATGCTGCATTAATTAGAAATTCAAATGCTTTGGAAATTTTCTATTATTGTTATAAAGGAAATTATTTAAAATAGCACTCTGAGATGTTATTACACAAGGTAAATATATAATGGCATTTATTTTCTCCTTCCTCGAGTATAGGCTCTCTGAATGCTGCTTGCTGCTTGTATACTCTTATGAATTCTGTTTCTGTTTGATTGAGATGGTCTTTACTCTCAGTCTCATTGCCTTTTTCAAAATCTGCAAAATGAGATCTGGAGAGATGGTTCAATGGTTAAGAGCACTGGCTGCTCTTCTATTAGACTGGGGTTCATTTCCAAGCACCCACATGGCAACTCACAACTATCTGTAACCTGTTCCAGGGGATCTGCCACCCTCATACAGCCATAGGCAGTCAAAACACATAAAATAAAAATAAAACAAATTATAAAAATGCAAAGTGACCTTTTATGGTTATACAAATTCACAGAAAACAAAGTGAGGTTATGACTTATGAAAAGGATGTGGAATGATTAAACCAACTCAAATTATTGAATTAACTCACTTTTGTTGTAAGAACATTTTAGATATATTCTCTTAGCAGCTTTAACTGTACTGTGCTTGGTTATTAAATATTTTCATGAAGCAATGTACTGGAACCCTTCCCAAATCCCCAAAAAAGAACAAACAAATTCATCCTGGATAAGATTTTGTACTTTTTGGTCATTTCTCCTACACTTTCCTCAGCCTCTGCAATCACCATTCACCCTGTGCTTTGATAAGTTTGGTTATTTTGTATTTCATATATATTCTAGATTGCTTCTCTGTTGCTATGACAAAAGTATTATGACCAACAGTAACTTAAGGAGAAAAGTTTATTGAGGGACATCTTTCCAAATCACAGTCTGTCATTGAGGAAATCAGGGCCAGAACTCAAGGCAGAAAACCTGATACAGAAACAACAGAGAGATGCTGCACAGTGGCTTACCCACTCACTAGTTTTCTTATACAGCCCAGGTCCATGAGCCCAGAAAATGGCACTGTCCACAGGAGATGGACCTGCCACATTAATCATCAATTAAGGCAATCACTCATAGACATGGCCACAGGCATGTAATGAAGGCAATTGTTCCTTTGAGGTTCCCCCTTCCCAGACACTCTAGGTTGTACCAAGTTAAGGCTCTGCCCTGCAGACTGTCAAAGCAGATGCTGAGACTTATGGCCAAATGCTGGGCAGAGTGCATGGAATCTTATGTAAAAAGTAGGAAATAGTAAGATCTGGAGAGGACAGGAACCCCACAAGGAGAGCAACAGAACCAGAAAATTGGAACACAGGGGTCTTCCCAGAGACTCATACTCCAACCAAGTACCAAGCATGAGGATAACCTAGAACCCCTGCACAGATGTAGTCCATGGCAGTTTAGTGTCCAAGTGGGTTACATAGTAAAGGGAAGAGGGACTGCCTCTGACACAATCTGATAGGCCTGCTCTTTGATCACCTCCCCCTGAGGGGAGAGCAGTCTTACCAGGCCACAGAAGATGACAATGCAGCCACTCCTGATGTGACTCTGATAGACTAAGATCAGAAGGAAGGAGAGGAGGACCTCCCCTATCAGTGGACTTGGGAGGGGCATGCATGAAGAAAGGGGAGGGAGGGTGGAACCTGGAGGGGAGGAAGGAGGGGCTAATGGGGAGATACAAAGTGAATAAAGTATAATTAATAAAATAAAATTTAATTTAAAAGAAAGGGTTAAAAAATAAAAAATAATACATAAGGTAGAATATGTAGTAATGAACTATTTATGCTAGGTTTTACTTCACTAAATCTATGTTCTCTAAATCTATGTTGTTACAAATTACAAGATTTATTTGAGACTAGCAATATTTCATCATATGTATATTCCACATTGTCTTTATTCAAATGCTGTCTCTAACCACTTCTACCTCCTCCTTCATATAATTCTGTGACACTTTTCATTCTCTCAAAATTAAAACTTATGTGTTATGTTATGACCCACTGACCCTCTTCCTTTTGAGGGTCTCTGTGGCCGATTTTGAGCCTCTAACATCTCAGCGTTTAAGTTTTCTACCTCATGTAATTTCTGAGTTTAGTGATTGCATTTTTCAGTTTGACAATTCATTGTTCTTCATTTCTACCTGACCAAATTTTGTAATATCTTGTTCCTTTAATCTACTTTCACTATTCCTCTATATTCCCTTAGCTATATTAAGCATGGTTTTATTCTGCACCTGCCATCTTTAGCCCCCTGGTGTTTTATGTCTGTTATGCAATAGTCCCCTTCAGTTCTTCTGAGACAACATCCCTTGGAATTTTACCTCTGGAAAATGTTTCTGATCCGAATTTAATGCTCATTCTTCCAAGTATAGTTTGCCTTTGATTTTGTCCTACTGTTTATGTTTCTGTTTAGTTCCGATTACTGGGAGTGATCAATTGTAGTATTTGAGAGGGGACATGATACATTGCTTAGGAACTGTGAATTCCAGCCTTAAATAAAACCCTGCAGATAAGGGTGTTTTGTTAAGGGGTATTTGTTGTTGTTTTGTTTCATGTTTGCATTTTACTTGTTTTGTTGTGAAACAGGGCCTCATTATATAGCTTCAAATGTCCTGGAACTCAATACATGTTCATGGCTGGCCTTGAGCCCACAAAGATATGCCTAGTAGGTGCTGAGATCAAAGGAGGTACTTAAAAACTATGATCAGGAATGATTGGTTTTGTCTATTTGTTAGTTGTTTGTTTGAACCAGAAACAAATTAAGTCATACAAATATGTCTAATCCTGCTCTTGTAGAGAAAGGTTTCTAATCCATCAACCGAGTATGTTGACTCTGAAAATTACTGACTTTGTGCAGAGGTCTTGGATTTGACACCCCCCACGCACATTTTCACACAGATGTACATGTACACACATGCATGATTATGCCGTGGTGAGCTCTAGACTTTGTCTTTTGCCTGCCATAAAACACAGTTTTGTTTCCATCCAAGTTGTATTGCAATATTGGTCTGCTTTAAAGTCTGGATGGAGAACCTTTCTATGTTGTAAAATTCAACAAGCAGTGTACTTTCAGGAGGTTGCAGGAGAGAAAACCACAAGAAGCTGTTGTACTCTAACTTCTCCTTATTACAAAGGTGTATATGCAGTCTTTAAATAAATAAAATGGTTGAAGAAAGATTTTATGAAACAGTTAGAGAGAAGCAAGGCACATACCTGCTACTCCAGCCTTTGGGAGGCTGAAGTAGGAGGAGCCTAAGTTCTTGGACTACCTTGTGAAACCTTATTTCTCATAAACAAAGGTCATGGGTTCTAGCTGGTTATGTGTTGTTATCACCAACACATGTGAAACTTATTTTGAAAACAAAGTTGCAAAGTTTAACAGAGATACTTCAGCAACTTTTTGTCTTTTAAAAATTTCTTTGTGGGCAAGAGAGTTGGCTCAGCAGGGAAGAGCATGTGCTACACCCAGAGAACTGAGTTTGGTTCTTAGCACCCACAGTAGGCAGCTTATAAGTCCATCTCTAGGGGATCCAATACCCTTTTCTGGCCTCTATGAACACCCCCACACACGTGGCATTCATATAAGCAGGCATAAGCGCATACACTTAAACTAAAATGAAACTTAGTTCTTTGAAATTTTTGTGCAGTTGTTTTGATTGTATTCATCCCCTTCCCCCAACTCCTCCCAGATACATTCCCCTTCCCTTCCTACCCAACTTTGTTTCTTTTTCCTTTTTTTTTTTTCTCCCATCAGTTACAATTTGTACTGCCCTTATACTCTTGGATGTGTGGTTGCAATGGAACCTGTTTGATCCACTAAGGGCCACATACTTAAAGAGAACTCACTTCTCTTTTCCCAGCAGATATGAATTTCCAGTTGCTCCTTAGGTAGGGGTGGGAATTTATTACCATCTCCCATAGGCCGTGTACATTCTGGCAGGCCCTTGTGGTTCCTATCTTCAACTACACTGCTATGTCCAGTAAACACTGTTTTCTTATAGTCCTGAACTACTTCTGGATCTCACAATCTTTCTGTCTGTTCTTCTGCAATCATCGTAGAGATGGAGCCTTGGGAGGAGGGGATGTCATATAGATGTTTCTTTAGGGCAATCATTCCACAATCTGCTATTCTCTGAACCTTGACAAGGTGGGGTTTCTGTGACAATCACAATTTACGGGAAAAATAAGTTTCCTTGGTGAGGGTTGAGAGGTGCATTTATCTATGGGTAGAACTTCACAAGCGGGCCTCAAATGTAATCATAACATTGGTTAGTCCCATAATGTTTGTGCCACTATTGTACCCATGAGCATATATTATCAGACCATTCATTATTGTAGCTCATAGTGTTCATAGCTGGGTAAATCGATGAGCACATTTTTCTGTGGTAACATTCCTAGCATCTTCCAGCACTATGAAAGCTAGCAAGTAGGGATGAAGTTTCTAGGTCAGTACCAGCTTGGTTTCCCTATGCCCTTGTACTTAATTATACAATGTCTTTAGAAATAAAATCTTACTGTAATATTTTCTATGGTAGCCAAGAACATTGACAATAATCTGTAATGTTTGTAGTCTATGTGGCCTCAATGACTAGCAACTCCAAAGAGGTAACTTACTCCTGGCACCGAGTGGAGCTTGTTATTTCTCGTTCCTTGGTGTATAGTGGGCTTGTTGTTGAATCATTATAGGATAACCCTATCAAACAATATTCTATATGTGTGTGTGCTTATGTTTTAGAAAGGTTCTACAATAGTAGGTCATGCGTTTAATACAGTGATATTTTATAGTTATTGTTTTCTCATTCATTTATTTGATTGGGTATTTACTGAAGATTTTCACTGGTTAGTTATGATACCATTCAATATATTAACCTTCTCCTTTATGATTACCCACTTTATTGGAGAAAACAACATATAAATAACTTATCTGTTGTTGGTTTGGTTGTAAATAATAAAGTTTTATTTTTAAATTTATTTTGATATTTTAATATCTGATTTAGTGTACTTTTTTTTTCTACAACAGTTTTTAATTTGTTTGGAAATTCTTCCAAATAATGAAAAATCTTTTTCACTGCAACACAAAGGCAATGCAACTGGCACATCTTTTTTTAAAACAATGACAACACACTTCTTAACATTGAATAATTAAAGAAACACATCTCTCACAAACAGGTTGTGAACTTCTGGTTTGGAAGGGGCTGTTTTTAAGAAGACTTTGATACCTAGCAAGGCTTCATTCTTTAGCACTCGGCTATCTATCATGTTCATCTTCAAGACAGAGCTGGATGTTGAGTGTCGGTCCTTTCTCCAGCAGCCATTAGAAAGTAGTGTTATATAGTAAATTATCACATAGAAATTACTCAACCTATGAACATATAGGGCTGTAAGGCTATGGAGATGGTTCTGTGAATAATGCTGCCTGCTGTGAAGACTGATAACCTGATTTTCAACCCTCGGACCTACATAATAGAAAGAACACTGACTCTTACAAGTTGTCCCCTGGCATAAACACACAATAACACACATTCACATACACACACGATTACCCACATACACACTTATATATGTGTGCATACACACATCTACATAATTAATCTATAAACATAATTTTAAGGTATTGTGAGATATGATAAAAATATAGCCAAAAGCAAATCTCCAAAATTTTATAACTATTTTATATATTTTAAATTTTTATCTTTTCCTTTTTACAGTTTCACCTAAGTTTTGAGTATTGTTTTACATCGCTGACCAATTATAATTATATATTTCATTGGTTAGCAGGGGTTAAATGCTCTGTGGAGATCCTTAGAACTAACTTTTACTAAATAAGGCATGCTGACAAGCAAGCTTTACTGACATTTTCATCTCCTTAGCTGTACCAGCTGCAGTTTGTGATCATATCTTGGGTCATTATCAAGGTGATACTCATAATTCAAATATCCACTATTTATTTGTGCTTATTTTAATCATAAAAAGTGATCTGGATAATACTTCCTTTAAACAGCTTCTCATTTAACAGTATAATCTTATAATTTCTTAAAGACCACTGTACTCAGACTTTAATTATAGAATTTAACAAGTGACTATACTGTATAAATCATAATTTCCAGCCCTTAAAAACTGCACTTTTAAAAATTATTTCTTTATTAATTACAGTTTATTCACTTTGAAACCTAACCATGTGCACTTTTAACATATTGTTTGCCAGTGTTGCAAACTGAGGTTTACTTGCACTACCATATTAGATATTCATACTCAAAACTCAATTAGATAAAAGTTTAGTATGCAGGATTACTCTCTTTGCAGCACTGCTTTGAGTTATAGTGAGCAATGTTATAAAACTGTATCATTTGCCTAACGCAATCATTACTTACTCTTACAGTGTTAGATCAGTTACCAAAGAGCTTTGCTTTTCAGCTTAAATGTATATTAAATTTCCTAGAATAGATTACGTTTAATTCATGAAAAATTAAATCACACACTTCTGAATAGGTAAAAATTTGTCAACAGTTACATTTCAAAATGTATTTAGACTGAAATGTTCTAAAATATTAACTACTGTCTATTCATTTGCTTACTATTTTGATTATTAAAAGATACATACAGATTTATAAAAAAGTAAATTATCTTAAAGAAATGTTGTACCTTCAAATATTTTACAAATGAAATATTTAATGTTATTTAAATTAAAGTAAAAAATCATCCTTTAAATCAAAGCTGAATGTTTATATCTCATTAGGAGTATATCCTATTAGGAGTAAATTGGTTATAAACATTTGGTTATAGAAAGCAGATTTTTTTTTTGAGAACTGTTTCTGTTATGTGAATAATCCAAATTCATCCCTCACCTTCCTTATGTATTTGTTCTGGTCTTCTGATGCTCTCCCGAAAACAATCAAGGAAACAAACAAACAAAAACATAGTGTTCGGATTATCTTTCAGTACATTTTAATTTTGTGTGTATGTGGGATAAAAACAGATCCAAGAAAGGGCACTAAATCTGTAATGCTGACCTGGCTGGGCTACAACTGTTAACACCTGCTAGTCTGTGGAAAAGAGGTGTATAAGAATGAGGAATGACAAGGAAATCTCAGTCTCTCTAGGCTTTGTCTTCTGCAGCTTTCTTAACTGCTAAACAGATAATAAAGGAAGCTGAGTAATATTTGGAGAGTATTCAAATTATTCATACATTAAAATGCAAATGCTAAACAAAGCCTATAACAGAATGGCATTGCTGAGGATGAAATGAGCCTCATGTGGTAACTTGCTACAGTGTTGCACTGGAACAACTGATTTTTTTTTTTTTTTTTTTTTTTACGAACACTAATGGTTGGAGGGATTCTGATGGAAGTATACCAGGAGATGTCCATGCTCCTTTTAGCAGGGAACAGAAGCCAGCTGTTGGAGAACGTGCACCTGGTTCCTTGCAACTGGTTGGTTCAACACTCCTCATTCCACAAAAGGAAATTAAATGGACATTCTGTAAAAACTATCTTGACTTTTATTTGTACTGTATAGAACACTTACTAAAGTACATTAAAATATAAATAGCTTTCTGGAATTAGTAAGATCATATAAATAATAATGTTTATTTTCTATTCAGAGTAGGACTGGATAAAAAACACTTTATGGTTATGGCAGATTCTAAAGGGTAGTTGATATAAGAAAAAACTACATTGCAGACTACACAGGAAATAATTGCTTAGAGATAAAATCATTATCTATTTGTATCTATACCAGAAAGTTACAAATTAAGAATATATGTATGTGTGTGTGTGTCAAGTAGAGAAATAAAAAAAACAGGTATTAATATCTCATGATTCATCATTGAAATGAATTTAAATAAAGATATTTTGAAATAACTTAACCCTACTGAAAAGGTATAAAATTTATTTTCACCTTCAAGGAAGAAACTAGACTAAACATTTTTTCAAAAAGTTAAAACTAGGGAAGGACTTTTGGACTAGTGAACATTTCATTAACCTTTGACCCTTGGTAATGACCATCCTAGCTCTTCTCTAGGGCAAGAGGCCACAAACACTAACTGAGTCACAGATATAACTTGTTTGACACTTCATTGCCCACTATCCATATAATTGTTTGATTTTCATAGAAAATAATTTTTAATTGCTCAAAGATCTCAGTTTGTTGACCAATTACAGGTTTTTAAAATTCCCCTCCTTTGAGACACTTACATCTTAAATATATGTATACCTTCTGGTTCTGCATAAGAAAATTACAGTTGTATGGACTCAAATATCAGTGGACCCCACTTGCTGATGTAAACAGCATTCTGTAGATGGATAACCTGTTCTCTTTCAGGGCTCTTTGTGCTCTTGGAGGCCTGGTTAGGAAAGTCATTTCTTCTCATCAATGTCTGCTGCAATGAAGGGCACAGGCTCTTCCTGGCCCCTGATTCTGAATGTAATACTGCAGAGAGACAATACATAGTAAATTTAGCTGCATTTACTGGAACAGACAATGCACGATTTTGCATTTTAACTTCTTAGGTACATAATCCACCACCACCTGAAGGAGTAGAATGTTTTCTCTTCAAAGAACACATAAGGATATTTAACAGAAAAATCCTTGTACTAAATTGGTTGCCAGAGTTGAATAAATGTATAAAATGAAGTACAATCATAAAGCACCTTTATGTTGAGATCTATACTCTTGTCCCTAAACACCTCTATTATCTTGGCAGGTTTGAGTTGTAACTGTTCTCCTAGT